TATCTATCTATCTATCTATCTATCTATCTATCTATCTATCTATCTATCTATCTATCTATCTATCTATAAAAGTGAAAGACCACTCATGCATCATCACAAAATCTCCAGAACTGTAAAGCCTACAGACTTGAAATTTTGCACCTATGTTCCTCTTGGATTCTAGGGGCTCGCTAAGAAAGGATTTTTCAAAATGATCCCCAGAGAATTTCCTATATTATTATTATTTTTATTATTAATAGGCTTCGATGCTAAGGAGTCCTACTCCCCCTCCCCACCTGAAAAGAAATCTCTTCCAAATGCAAAACACAAGCAGAGGAGTTTTAGTTTCAGAGCACCAAGCAGCTTTAGGACAGAACAGTTGAGCTAAGCCACGCCCAGGCTTCTTGCTGTCTCCTTCTTGCTCACATAGCAAATACAGCTTCAGTTTCCAAACAGCCGTCAATTCTCTCACACACTGACAGGACACTAACCCGATGAATACCGATGGATGCTGGTAGGCAGAGGCAGAATTTCCCTCCCCCTCCCCTATTTTCCTCCCCCCAAATTAAGCCCGACCACATAGTTTCGTAGCAAAGCACGAGTATCCAGCTAGTATTTAATGTTTTGTAGCAGAAGTGTAATTATATGTAGTTGTCAATTTGCAACCAGAATTAGGACGAGGATTCCCATGGCCAAGCAAAGCGATTCTTAAGTGAGTTGTGTTTGTTAATGCCTCCTTCTTTGCTGTTGTTGTTGAGCGAATCCCTATGGTTGTTAAGTGAATCACACAGCTGTTAAGTGAATCTGGCTTGCCCCATTGACTTTGCTTGGCAGAAGGTCGCAAATGGGGATCACATGAACCCCAGGATGCTGAAACAGCCATAGATACAGGTAGTCCTCGACTTACAACAGTTCATTTAATGACCAAAGTTACAACCGCCCTGAAACTTATGACTTATGACCCTTTTCACAGTTATGACCTTGGCAGCAGCATCCCCCCCACAGTCACGTGATCAAAATTCAGATGATGGGCAACCGGTTCATACTTACGACCGTTGCAGTGTCCCAAGGTCAGGCGAACCCCCTTCTGCAACCTTCTCACAAGCAAAGCCAATGGGGAAACGAGATTCACTTAACAACCGTGTTCCTAACATAACAATGGCTGTGATTCACTTAACAACCGTGGCAAGAAAGGTTGTAAAATTGGACATAACTCACTTAAGATCTCGCTTAACCCCAGAAATTCTGGTCTCCATCGTGGTCGTAAGGTGAGGACTACTTCTTATATGCCAGACGCTAAATGTCCGAATTCATGACCATAAGGATTGCTGTGATGGTCGTAAGTGCAAGGACCAGTCGATTTTTCACTGCTCTTGCACTGAACGGTCGCTAAACGAGTCTTTGTAAATTGAGAAAAAGGGAGGCTTACTATTTTGCTACATATAAAGATTGCTTGCTTGGACCAGCAGGTAAATTTTGAATTAACGCTTCCTCCTTTAATCCGGATTAGTTTCATTTTAGTTTACTTTATTGTCATTGCGCCTCGTACCACGAAATCAAACACCATCTTCAGTGCTCATCACGACCATGAAAATAAGACACAAACACGCATCCTTCACACTCCACACATTGAATTGCAAACCCGTGATATTGCATGAATATTACACTAGACAGTAGATTTCAACAGAGTTGCTGCCCTGGGACAGAAGCTGTTTTTCAGCCTATTTGTCCTTGTTTTTATTATGATTGTCCTGTACCGTCTGCCAGATGGTAATAGTTCAAAAAAAGGGTTCCCAGGATGAAATGGATCTTTAAGGATGCTTTGAACTTTCTTAAGGCAGCGGGAGCTATAAAGCTCTTCCAAAGAGGGGAGAGGGCAACCCAGGATCCTCTGGGCAATGACATTTAACCCTCTGGAGTGCCGTCCTATCTGCCTCTGTGCAATTGGCAAACCATACAGAGGTGCAGGAAGTTAAAATGCTCTCTATGGTGCAGCGGTAGAAAGTCCCCAGCAGTTTTCCATCCAGTTGTTGTTTCCTGAGAAGCCTCAGGTAGTCTAATCTCTGCTGGGCCCTTCTGACCAGTGCTGCAATGTGAGCACCCCCAGGTCAGGTCCTCTTTTAGGGTAACACCCAGAAACTTAAAACTGGCCCCTTGCTCCACTCGGTCTCCCCATTGATAAGCCAGGGCTGGATGTCTGATCTGTTCCTTCCATAGTCCACTATAAGCTCCTTAAGTCTTATTGGTGTTGAGGACCAAGTTATTGTCTCCACACCACGAAAGCAAACGGTTGATCCACCTCATCTCGGTAGGCAGACTCATCCCCCCTGGAGTCCCACCACTGTCTCCCTGTGTGTGTCTCTATATCCCTCTCTCTGTCTCTGTCTCTCTCTGTCAGTCTCTCTCTGTTACTGTGTCTCTCTCTCCCCTCTCTCTCTCCCTCTGTGTCTCTCTCTCTCTCTCTGTCTCTTTCTCTCTCTCTCTCTGTCTCTCTCTCTCTGTGTCTCTTTCTCTGTCTCTCTTTCTTTATCTCTGTCTCTGTGTGTGTGTGTGTGTGTCTCTCTCTCTCTCTGTTTCTCTCTGTCTCTGTCTCTCTGTCAGTCTCTCTCTGTCACTGTGTCTCTCTCTGTCTCTCTCTCTCTCTCCTCTCTCACTCTCTCTCTCCGTGTGTCTCTCTCTGTGTCTCTGTCTCTCTCTCTCTGTCTCTCTCTCTCTGTGTGTCTCTCTGTCTCTCTCTGTCAGTCTCTCTCTGTCACTGTGTCTCTCTCTGTCTCTCTCTCTCTCTCCTCTCTCTCTCACTCTCTCTCTCCGTGTGTCTCTCTCTCTGTGTCTCTGTCTCTCTATCTCTGTCTCTCTCTCTGTGTGTGTCTCTCTGTCTCTCTCTGTCAGTCTCTCTCTGTCACTGTGTCTCTCTCTGTCTCTCTCTCTCTCTCCTCTCTCACTCTCTCTCTCCGTGTGTCTCTCTCTCTGTGTCTCTGTCTCTCTATCTCTGTCTCTCTGTGTGTGTCTCTCTGTCTCTCTCTGTCAGTCTCTCTCTGTCACTGTGTCTCTCTCTCTGTCTCTCTCTCTGTCTCCTCTCTCTCTTTCCCTCTGTGTCTCTCTCTCTGTGTGTCTCTGTCTCTCTCTGTCTCTATCTCTGTCTCTCTTTATCTCTGTCTCTCTGTCAGTCTCTCTCTGTCACTGTGTCTCTCTCTCTGTCTCTATCTCGCTGTGTCACTGTGTCTCTCTCTCTCTCTCTCTCTGCCTCCCTCCCTCCGTGTGTGCAGAAGGATCAAATCTTGGCCACACCGAGCCAGGAGCCTACAGTCCTTGGCACATCCGCGGCTGTTGGGGGCCAGCAGTAGCTTTCCCAACCGGACTCCCTCCATGTGGGGGCGGGGGAACAGCCCACCTCCATGATGTCACCCCTCGGGAAGGAGCGAGAGGGGCGGGTGGGGGTGGGGGGCTCTGCTCTTCCCCAGCCCTTCTCTCCCCCCCCCACCCCCAACCCCCGGCTGCAACTCAGCAGGAGAGTCTTTTTCCTTCGCCAGCAACAGGTTCGATCCCCGCGAAAGCGCTCTCGAGTTGGCCGGAGTTGCCCGCTTCTCGGCTGTGCTCGCCGGCTACTTTCTTGCACGGCTCCCCTCCCTCCCCGGTTTCCTGAGAAGATCCGGTTCGGGATGGGTGGGGTGGAGGGTGGGGGTGGAGGGGGGGGGAATCTCCCGCCCGCCTTCCTCCGAGATGCCGCCCGGCTTCCTTCCTTCCTTCCTTCCTTCTTGCCACCCCACCCCCGCCCGGTGCCAGCCAGTACCTGCCGCTGAGAAGGATCCGGTCCTTGAGGCTCCATGCCGGAACGAGCCACCGCAGGCTACGGATGGAAGCGGCGAAGAAAGCCGGGAAGAAGACCAAGCCCAGGGCCAGAGTCTGCCACATCCCCACCAAACGACCCGCCGGCTTCTTTCTCGGCACCGTCCGGCCTCCAGGAGCTTCTGGAGAGTCGGTCGGCGCTCCCCCACCCGCCCAGCGGGGCAGAGGCAGGCAAGGGGAGTTGGGGGGGGACGGGGACGACTCAGGAGCCGCTCCCCGCAGTCCAACCTCCGCCCTGGCCGGGTCTATTTGTCAACAGGAGGCCGGGCGGCGGCGGCGGCGGGAGGAGAGGGCGGAGGAAAGCGGAGGGGAGGAGGAGGAGGAGCCGTGGCCGCCGCTGCGACCGTCGGCCGAGAGAGACGGGAGTTGGACGGGGCGTAAGGAGCTCGAAGGCGACCGTGGTGGCTTCCGGGCGGGGCCGGCTTTACAAATAAAAAAATAAAAAATAAAGGAGAAGCGCTCCGACTCTCTCTCTCTCTCTTTCTCCCACCCCGCCCCCTTTCCCTTCCACCGACGCCCCCGCCTCTCCCCGACTCCACGCAGGATCCGCTGCAAAGCAACGGGCCGGTTCGGGAGGGGGCGGGGGGGTCATGGTTCGAGGAGCGAGCGGGGAAAGTTCCGTCGGAACGTTGGAGGAGCGAGCGTTCCAGCCGGCCGAGCGCCGAACGCTGAGACCCCGGGCGTTCCATCCGGTCGAACGCGGGGGTCTCTTGAGCGGGCGGGGACCCTTCAACCGCGACCCCCGAAGACTGCGGGAGATGATGGGTTGTTTGGGGCGGAAGTCCCCCGACCCGCTCGGTGTGGAATAGAAGAGGATTGAATTGAATTGAATTGAATCGAATCGAATTGAATTGAATACAGTAGAGTAGTATACAATAGAATGAATAGGACAGAATAGAATAGAATGAATAGAATTGAATAGAATGTATAGAATAGAATAAAATGAATAGAATAGAATGTATAGAATAGAATAGAACGAATAGAACAAATAGAATAGAATGTATAGAATAGAATGTCTAGAATAGAATGAATGGAATAGATTAGAATGAATAGAATGTCTAGAATAGAATGAATGGAATAGAACGATTAGAATAGAATGAATAGAATAGAATAGAATGAACAGAATAGAACAGAATGAATAGACTAGAATGAAGAGAAGAGAATAGAATGAATAGAAGAGAATGAAGAGAAGAGAATAGAATGAATATAATAGAATAGAATGAATAGAAGAGAATGAATAGAAGAGAATGAATAGAATGAATAGAAGAGAATGAATAGAATAGAACGAATAGAATAGAATGAAGAGAATAGAATGAACAGAATAGAATAGAATAGAACGAATAGAATAGAATGAAGAGAATAGAATAGAATGAATAGAATGAATAGAATAGAACGAATAGAATAGAACGAAGAGAACGAATAGAATAGAACGAATAGAAGAGAATAGAATAACGTTGTTCCAACATTTGCTCTTAAGATGCAAAGGGCCACGTGCCACAATGTATCTATTGGGGAGATGAAAGTGGGGGGGGGGCTGCATTCTTGTGACTCCTCCAGCCTCAGTTGGGGTTTCCCGCAGCCGGAGACCACAGCCGGTAACCGTTTCCCCATGTTGCTTTCAAAAGCCCCAGCCAAACCCAACCGATTTGCGGGATCGGGGATCCGCGCTCAAACCACTGACTGCGTTCCTGCGAGGATTAAATCCGGCTGGGCAGATGGTGGATTTAAGCGTACGAAATGCCCACCGTGCTTTTCGGGCTGTGTTTGAATATTACTTGTTGCGTAGCCACTGTATTATTATTATTATTATTATTATTATTATTATTATTATTAAGCCATATTAAAGGTTTTTGTGTTCCGGCCAAAAAAAAAATAAGGCTAACCTAAACCGAAAAGCCATGAAAAAGAAAATGTGTAGCCCCACCGAGAAAAAAATCCGCAATCAATTTTAAAAAAGCATCTGTACTAGAAGCTGGGCAACCCCAGGTAGTCCTCAATTTATGACCACAACTGAGCCCCAAATTTAGGTCACTAAGCAAGACTCTTGTTCAGGGAGATTTGACCCCTTTTTACGCCCTTTCCTGTCTTGATTGTTAAGCGAATCAGTGCAGTTGTTAAGTTAGTGACACGGTCGTTAAGTGAATCCAGCTTCCCCATTGACAGCTTGTCACAAAAGGGGAATCACACAACCCAGGTACGCTACAACCGTCCTAAATATGAGTGGGTTGCCAAACGTCTGGATTTTGATCACGTAACCACGGGGCAACGGTCATAAGTGTGAACAACGGTCACAATTCCGGTTTTTTTCAGTCCTGTTGTAACTTCAAACGGTCACTAAATGAACTGTTGTAAGTCTAGGACTCCCTGGACGACCCCTGTGACGACCCAAAGGGGCGTGGCCCAAAGGCAACACAGTCAGATAATCAATTGGAGTCCCTTTATTACTTCCAAACTTTGCCCCCAAGGTCCTGGTTACCTTCTGGGCTGGAGAAAAAGTCCCCCAGGAACAGCCTTGGGCTGCAGAGGTGTTTCATTTATCAATTGATACGTAGGGATAAACCACCATTCAAAAGAGACAATTAAAAAAAAGTGAAGGGGATAAAAAAAAAAAAGGACTGGAACATATCATATTTACTGGCCTAATCCTGTAAGGAAGGCAGGAAGGAAACATTCTGGTGTTGCTTACAGAAACTGCCTCTCCGTTGACCCTTATTACATTCTCGGCAGGACTAGACTTCCTGTCTCAGGAACTTCTCTGGAGTTTTTTTCCCTCCTTTGCTGGTACTTCGCTTGTGTGGAGTGACCATTCAAAGTTACAATGGCACTGAAAAACCAGTATGACTGTGTTGTTTCTCCGGCTCATTTAATATATGTGGCTGTATGCATAATTTTGTATTTATTTATGTATTCTGTCATGTTTATCTAGTGTATATTGGAGGTGGTGACCCATGGAGAGCTGTATGGAGTGAAATTTCATTATAATGTACGCCTATTAGTTGTACATTCACAGTGACAATAAAGTTATCCTATTCTATCCTATTCATATTCAGCAGACAAATCCCAGATAAGCAGGGATTAACGCCAGACAAACAATCAAGCAAAAAGCAATACCCTAATTAAGGAACTAATACGGAGAAAACCACGCTTTGCGTCATGCCCCTGTCGGAGACTGACTCCGAGGGAGAGGAGGAACAGCCAACAGGGAGTGGAAGTGTGGCTCCGGAGGTTGTGGAGGAGGCTGGGGAAGGGCAGAGGCCGGCTGGGCAGTCAGAGGAAGACCCAGGCCCATCCCCTCTCCATCCTAGGGCACGCAGGGAGGAGAGGATAAGGGAGAGTCGTGAATGGCATGGTCTATGGGGGAGGAAAGGGCCTTGATCCCCTTCATGGGCTTCAGCTGTGAGAACTGGATAAGAGGATGGACATGCGTACGGGCGAGTACAGGCTCCTTGCTGTCTCCTTGCTCACACAGCAAATGCTCTTTCAACTTCCAAACAGCCCTCATGTCAACTCATAAAATATTTCTATGGTCATTTTTAGAGTTGCCAAAAGAAAGGGAGGGGAGAAAGGGGTTGGAAAGAGCAGTGCGGCAGCTTGGAAATCAAAAGTGCATTCCACACATAGTTTTTCAAAGATAGTAACTAGGTGACTGAAGTTTCTGCCGGGCAAATATCTGGTTGGAGAACATGATTGATGACTCTGGGCTATGGATGTGTCCCATTGGAGAATATGAATTACGATACAGCCAGAGGGGTGGGGGTAAAACCAGGGTCAAGGGTGACAATGAATGATGTGTCTCAGAGTTGGCTACACCCAGGCAGTGCCGGACATGTTAACTCCCAATAAATCCTTTTGAAGTTTTGGAAGTTTGGCTCGAGACTCGTGATTTAAATGGGGGTGACCGCCGGAATCCTGACAGTAATATGGAAATGAAATATTTTATTTGCTTATGATTGAGTCTGTCATCTGCACCTTTAAATAATGGTCTGGTTTGGTTCTGCCACCCAACAGGGCAGACACAGACTCCAGAGAGGAATTAGGACTGCAGAGAAAACAATTACTACCAACCTGCCTTCAGTCGAGGACCTGTACCCTGCACGAGTCAAAAAAAGGGCTGTGAAAATATCTACAGACCCCTCACATCCCAGACATAAACTGTTTCAACTCCTTCCCTCAAAACGACACTATAGAGCCCTGCACACCAGAATAACTAGACACAAGGAAGTTTTTTCCCCCAACACCATCACTCTGCTAAACAAATAATTCCCTCAACACTGTCCAACTGTTTACAAAGTCTGCACTATCATTACTATTAATCTTCTCATTGTAGCTCCTCCCACCTGTGACTGTATGACTGTCGCTTGTATCCTTATGATTTATATTGACTGTTTCCTAATACGATTTGATTGCTTATTTGTACCCTATGACTATCATTAAGTGTTGCACCTGATGATTCTTGATGAACGTATCTTTTCTTTTATGCACATGGAGAGCGTTGGCACCAAATTCCTTCGGTGTCTAATCACACTTGGCCAATAAAGAATTTATTCATTCATTGAGCATTTAATATGCCTAACCTAGATACCAACCAAACTGACTGGATTGCACAATATGCTATAACATGCTCGCATATTAGCGTAGCCTTGTTAGGTCTTTACCTGACCCGATTATGATTCTGGGATCACCTAGTAGTCTCCCATCCACCAAATATTAAATTATCTTTAGCTTTTCAGTGTCAGCCAAGGTAGAAATGTCCAGGGAACAGAAGTTGCCCTCGGAAGTTGTGGGAGCGCCATCACTTGAGATTTTCAAGAAGAGATTGGACTCCCATCTGTCAGAAATGGTGTAGGGTCTCCTGCTTGGGCTGGGGGCAGGGGTGAGATTCAACCGGTGTAAGTACTGGTTCGGTGATTACGTATTCAGGAAGCCATAGTTTTTAATGGTTTATTTGTTTAAATTAGTATATATAACACCACCCAAATCCTAATTTATGAGTCTGGGCAGCATAGAAAAGCATTATAAACTGCCACAAAATAATAAATTGTGTACACCTACCTGAGGCTCAGTTACTATCTTAGCCCAAAGCAAGGAAGACGAGACAGGTCTTTCTTTCTTTCTTTCTTTCTTTCTTTCTTTCTTTCTTTCTTTCTTTCTTTCTTTCTTTCTTTTCTTCCTTCCTCTTCCTCTTTCTTTCATTCTTTCTTTCCTTTCTCTACTTTTTCTCTTTCCTTCCTTCCTTCCT